CAAAATATTTTCAAAAGCCCCCCCCCCCCATAAAAGTGAAAGGGATTCAGTTTCCAACCCCCTCCTCTCCAGGACTGTCAAATAAATGTCAGCACACCCAACCCCTCAAGGGCTGTTCTTATTATAAAAATGATTATTTTTTGGGTAAAGTTTTGGTAAAATTACGTTTAAACCAAACAGCTTCACTTGTTGGGGAGGAGTGAATGGGTCTATCAAACTATTTTATAGGAGAGTTACACCCTCTCCCCCTTTAATAATAAACAACTAAGGAATTAATTGTTGTAACTAGAGTTGTGTATTGCTAGACAATATTACTAGTTGAGCAGTTGACAATTATCTAATATACAACTAAGCTATTAATTGTTGTACCTGGAGTTGTGTATTGCTAGACAATATTACTAGCGGAGTAGTTAACAGCTATCTAATATATAACTAAGCTATTAATTATTGTATATAGGATCCTGTATTGCTAGACAATATTACTAGCTGTGCAGCAGTTGACAACTGTCTAATATATAACTAAGCTATCAATTATTGTATATAGGATCGTGTATTGCTAGACAATATTACTAGCTGTGCAGCAGTTGACAACTATCTAATATATAACTAAGCTATTAATTATTGTATATAGGATCGTGTATTGCTAGACAATATTACTAGCTGTGCAGCAGTTGACAACTATCTAATGCTGGATGAATACGAACAAAATCTTATAAAGGTAAAATTAAAGGTATACAGCTAGAGATAAAGGTAAAGGTAGATAGCTAGAGATAAAGGTAAAGGAGAATAGCTAGAGATAAGATAAAGAAAATATCTAAAGATAAAGGTAAAGGTAGATAGCTAGAGATAAAGGTAAAAAAGAATAGCTAGAGATAAAAGTAAGGAGAATAGCTAGAGATAAAGGTAAAGGAGAATAGCTAGAGATAAAGGAAAAGGATAATAGCTATAGATAAAGGTAAAGGGGAATAGCTAGAGATAAAAGTAAAAAAGAATAGCTAGAGATAAAAGTAAGGAGAATAGCTAGATATAATGGTAAAGGTGAATAGCTAGAGATAAAGGTAAAAAATAATAGCTAGAGATAAAGGTAAAGGGGAATAGCTAGCGATAAAAGTAAAAAAGAATAGCTAGAGATGAAAGTAAGGAGAATAGCTAGAGATTAAGGTAAAGGAGAATAGCTGGAGATAAAGGTAAGGAGAATAGCTAGAGATAAAGGTAAGGAGAATAGCTAGAGAAAAAGGTAAAGGAGAATAGCTAGAGATAAAAGTAAGGAGAATAGCTAGAGATAAAGGTAAGGAGAATAGCTAGAGATAAAGGTAAAGGAGAATAGCTAGAGATAAAGTAAGGAGAATAGCTAGAGATAAAGATAAAGAAGATTAGTTAGAGATAAAGGTAAAGGAGAATAGCAAGAGATAAAGTAAAGGAGAATGACTAGAGATAAAGATAAAGAAGAATAGCTAGATATAAAGGTAAAAAAGAATAGCTAGAGATAAAGATAAAAGGAGAATAGCTGCAGATAAAGGTAAAGGAGAATAGCTAGAGATAAAGGTAAAGGAGAATAGCTAGGGATAAAGGTCAAGAATACTGAATAATAGCTAGAGATAAAGGTAAAGGGGAATAGCTGCAGAGAAAGATGAAGGGGAATAGCTAGAGATAAAGGTAAAGAAGAACAGCTAGAGATAAAGGTAAAGGGGAATAGCTGCAGATAAAGATGAAGGGGGAATAGCTGGAGAAAAGGTAAAGAAGAATAGCTAGAGATAAAGGAAAAGGAGAATAGCTAGAGATAAAGGAAAAGGAGAATAGCTTGAGATAAAGGAAATATCGATAATAAGGGTTAATTTTTATTTTCTCATCCTGTTCCTAATCAACTAATTAGTTCACTGTAGAAATTTTGTTAAATTTTTTAAAACGATGCGTATTAGTTTGTAGGTCAAGGGTGATAGTGGTCAAATTAAGGGGGCCAGAGGTTGTTCTAAGGGACTGTATTGATGACGTATATTCAAGCAGCCCTAATTCATATTAAAACCGTGGTTTTTAAAAGTTTCTTAAAGCAAAAATTATGGATGTTTTTCATCAGAGAAATGTTAACTATCACTTGCAGTTTTTCTTAAAAGTGATTTTTGAAGCAGAAATAAATAGGCAAATTTACAAAATTTATCTCCCTTCGCTAGCATTTATAATAGCGCAAGTGACGACTTCCCAAATATACTATTTCCCAACCGGCAACTTTCGGCCCAAGTCCGTCCTAACCGCAATGTTCGACCCTTAGATTGTTCTAGCCGCAGCGCTCAGCCCCCCATTGCAGCCTGTGGCGCCTCTGAAGAAGGCTAACCTAACCTTTAGGAAGTTGCAGCTTGGGAAATTGTACATTTGGGTTGTTGCCGTTTGGGAAAATGCCTTTTGGAAAATGCCTAATACCAAGAAATATTAACTAGGAGCATGAGGGTCCTGTTAGTAAACGAATAAGGAAATGGAGTCTTGCCAAGCAACAATCTCAGGGACAGTGGGCTGATGGAGGTCAGAGGTTGTCTGGAGGCCGTCTTGGAGTAGATAGGGGACGTTTAGACGAAGAACAGGAGACCGAAGCAGGACAAGTTGCTGAAAAAAGAGACAAAGTTTTAAAAATAAAACCTGGTCAAATATTTACAACTAGAGCTATCACCACCATTATTGAGGATGAGGGTTAAGAAATAGTCTAGTTTTTTTATTAATAGATTATTTATTTTATTTTGTATGTTCTCTTCAAAAAACAACTTGCTGCTGCCATCCCTTTTTTGTCATTCATGTAAAAAGAACAAATAATTACAATTTTTAGAAAAAGTTTTATGTTTTCTCAAAATATTTTCAATAATTAAAATGATGCTTTAAATCTCTCATGTTTTTGAAGTTTTTTGATCAGAACTCCAATGCATTTTTTTCAATGTTAAAAGTATGTATTGTTCATTTTGCCAAAATGTAATTCCACAATTTTGCAGAAAACTATGGATACTTGCCAATTTTAATAATTTGCAAACTATATAAAGATTAATGTTACATTTGTCAGATCTATATACAGGGGGTTTCTTAGAAACTAAGTAGATAAAATATTCCTAAAAAAAGGCTTTATAACGACCCTGATCTTTATTGTTAAACGAACCCTAAACAGGTTGGATCTATCTATCTATCTATCTATCTATCTATCTATCTATCTATATATCTATCTATCTATCTATCTATCTATCTATATATATCTATCTATCTATCTATCTATCATTCTATCTATCTATCTAAATATCTATTTGTCTATTTAAATATCTATATATCTATCTATTTATCTATCTATATAAATATTTGTCTATCTAATTATCTATTATCTATCCATCTTTCTATCTATCTTTTTTAACTTTAATAATTTATTTTAATTAAATTTTACAATGTTTTTAAATTTCAATATGATATCAGATGGAAACATTTTAAGACTTCTATATTTCTTGTTTTTCATTCTTTCTTCTTGATCGTCCATTCCTTGTCCATCCTTCAATCATACTTTGGCTAATTTTGAAAATAAAAGATTTTTTGGGATGTTTTTTTGCAGCTAGCCAAATTGCAGATGCAGAACTATTTTTTTCGAGCCCTGTATCTATATTCTGAGAGTCTATCTATCTATCTAATTATCTATTATCTATCCATCTATCTATCTATCTATTATCTATCTATCTAAGAATAAATCCGTCTGCCGAAATGGCTGGCACGATTTATTTTAATCAATCATAAAGTAAGTTTTAATCTTGAAATATATAATATATATATTTATATCTTTATAGATTAAACTGGACAGAATCTATTATATATAAAGGAGATTCAACTGGCCCCTTCCCCCTCCCTTTTTTTGAATTATTACAATTATCTGAAAGACAGGCTTCTTAAAGACAAACATCTTAAAGACAAACCATTTAAAGACAACCTTCTGAAATGCAAACTATTAAAGACAAACTTCTTAAAGGCAAACTTCTTAAAGACAAACTTCTTTAAGATGAACTTCTTAAAGACAAACTTCTGAAATACTAACTTCTAAAATACAAACTATTAAAGAAAAACTTCTTAATGACAAACTTCTTAAAGGCAAACTTCTTAAAGATAAACTTCTTGAGGATAAACTTCTTAAAGATATTAACTTCTTAAAGACAAACTTCTTAAAGACAAACTTCTTAAAGACAAACTTCTTAAAGACAAACTTTTTAAAGACAAATTTCTTACAGACAAACTTTTTAAAGACAAACTTCTTGAGGATAAACTTCTTTAAGACAAACCTCTTAAAGACAAACTTCTTAAAGACAAACTTCTTAAAAAGAACCTTCTTAAAGACAAACTCCTTATAGACAATTTTTTAACAGACAAACTTCCTAAAGACAAACTTTTTAAAGACAAACTTCCTAAAGATAAACCTCTTAAAGACAAATTTCTTAAAGACAAACCACTTAAAGACAAACTTCTTAAAGACAAACTCATAAAAGGAAAAGCTCATGAAAAGACAATCTCATGAAAGTTAACCCTCCTGAAAGTTAAGACTTCTGAAAGTACAAACTTCTGAAAGGACAAAAAAGTGGAAAGAAAAATCTCCTAAAAAGACAATCAACAGCAAGGACAAACTGCTGAACGCGCAAACTCCTGAAGGGACAAACTCTAAAAACGAAAAAACCCTAAAAGTCCTAAAAGGGCAAACTCCTGAAAGGACAATCTCCTGAAAGTACAGTCTCCTGAAAGGGTAATTACTGCTGAAAGTTAAATCACCTGAAAGGACAAATACTGCTAACAGGAAAATCTCCTGAAATAATAAACTCCTGAAAATGTTCTTGTAGTCTAACCTATTTTTCTTCTTCTTAAGTTAATAACAGGTTAGACAGTAATTTCTAATTATGTTTAAAAATTCTTGTCTCACTGTAATTTCAAACGTGTTTCTTTCTTTGCAAAATTATTCGGTATACCATAAAATAGATTCACTGCAGAAAAATAAATTCAAATAGTTGAATTTAAAATTTGTTTGTCGGATCATTAAAGCCTCATTCTTTAGGGGTAACCCTTAAGATCATATTAAATGTAGNCAATAACGCTGTCTTCACTCTTGAGGGCCTATGTACGTGAGTACGTATATTGGGTTTTTGATTGAAATATAATTAATACATTTATCAAGATCATGTTCAATAGATACAGCGTCACGAGCCGCCGCCATTATAGCTGTAGGACTGGGCACTTCAGGATTATGGCTGTAGGGCTGGGCACTTTTGGATTTTTTTTAATGAGTTCATTAAAGGGAGTGTTCGCGAAAAACGGAAGGGGGTATAGGCTTACGGCGAAAAATAATCGCTTTTGATCGCTACTAATCTTACTTCTATCTGTTGCGTCTATAAGGAGAACATTGTTAAAACGACTTTTACTGATAAACGTAACGTCCATACAAATTCAGAAAGTTGCAATACATGACTCGTTTCGTAACATAATCAATTTAATTTCAAACAAATCATTTCGACATTACAACCTAAAGTCATCGATTATTTTTCGACACATTTGTATAAATTTAATATTTCATAATTTTTGTTATTTAATATTTATACTACCATGCCCTAGCCGTGGCGCTTGGCCCCCTAGCCTGTCCTAACCGCAGCGCTCGGCCCCCGTTTTGCTGAAAAATAAGTGGTCATGTATAAAATTGATAGGAGAGGGTGGCGGGATGGGGAGGGGGAGGGGGGGTCCAAAAATCGATCTCTAGGACGGACCCTTAACTTCTTCACTTCATCAACATCATGGTTGTGAGCAAATTTTGCCAACATTGTTTTTATGCATAGAATAGGATAGTCAAGCGGCGGGTTGGTGTTTCAAAAAAATCAAAAATGCTTAATTACTCTTTTGTTATTTAAGCAACAGGGCTAAAATTTATGTATTTGAAAAGCCCTTAAAAAATGAATGAAATAACATGTGTCACATGTATATATTTCAAAATTATAAACGATTGTTTTTGAAAATTTTTTCGACGTAGTTTTTAAATCCTTACCATTTAAAGTAAGAGGTCTAATTTTATTTTTAATGAGCAGGCTTTGAAAAGTTGGAGTTAGGGCATGGTAAAATCATAAGGGTGGGCGGAACCCCCCCCCCCCGTCCTGCAGCCTATATGAAACAAAATAGTCCAGGTGGGATAGGGTTTATGGATAGCTAAAATCGGGTTTTTTCAGATATCCGTGAAAGTGATGATCCGTTTAGTTAACGTTCTTTTTTAAAGATATCCTTTTATAGATCGCAATCTTATTAACAACTTTAGCGGAATATATATTAGGAAATCGTTAACGGTGCCTGCCGTTAACGATTATGTAAACACGTGTCTTCACAGAAAAATCTGCGAAATTTTTTCCTTGCAGACGGGATTTGAGTGTAACGTACAGAATACATTGCAGAGTTTTATAAAACAAAATGGAGGATATGTTGTATTACAGTGAATAATGAATATTTAAACTAAGTAGCAATTAATTACCATCTTTTATCTAATTAATGGCTGCTGCGTGAATATTTGTATCTTGGTTTATATTCTTTGTAAAGGAGACGGCCATTAAACCTTCTTTTTTGGATTTATGATATCAACCTGCCTTGCATCAAGATAAACAGGGTGTCAATTATAGACGCAGTGTAAATAATGCTTATATATTTTAATATATAAATACCGATAGAATTATATGATTTTTTAAAACCTTTTTTTAACTGATCAAATATCTCTTCAAAAAACGATGTGTCTATTCACATAACTAAATCTTTGATAGCTATTAATGGCAGTTATCTATATCTATATATCTTTCTATCTACTTACCAACCTATTTCTCTATTTATCTATCTACTAACTATTTCTATCTATCTATCTATCGTTCCTTCCTTCCATATCATTAACTACCTATCTATCTATCTATTCCAAGTTGAAGGTTAAACTATTTGACTGATGAATTATCATATCTCTATTATATGTTAATATCTTCTTTCGTTAAAACCAATTATCTCTTCCTCTTGTATTTAGGTATTCAGAAACGGCCTTAAAATCTTAAATTGGGATATTTCAGATGGTTTTTTATAGACCTAGACTTTCGGGAAGCTACGCGCGCCCATCTTCTATTTCAACTTTTAGTTGTTGTTAAATCTTTTAGCATTTTCTGTAATAAAAAAATTCAAGGATTTACAATTATTTCGTGAATTTTCAAAAATTTACGAAAATCAAAAATTTTTCGGACACAATTTTTGTAATTTTGAGCATCCATAAACCATTTTGTAGTAAATGCCGTACTCTTAAAACTTCGTCCCAAACTGTATCAGTCCAGGTACAAACCATCCGCTATTAAAGTCAACCAGGACACAACCCACAAATCTAAAATGTTTTCAATCAGATCTCCTTTGATGAGCTATTTAAAAGAACAAAAATGTTATGGATAATATCAAAACTAAAGGAACCACGATGTCACAAAATCGTACCAGTAATGTCGCATATATTTAACCTTATCCTAATGTTTAAAGTTTACAGTAAAGTGAAGCTAAACATATCGGGTCACTTGAAATTATGACGAATTATGACCCTGTAAAATATTTTATATTTTGCGAGAAAAGTTTTGAAAAGAATGTTTCTTGGATTGAATAAGAAATGAGAATATTGAAATATTTCTGATAAATTGACAGAGATTTCATCAAATTAGAAACACGGACCCACTTATCAAGATTATAAAGTTCAACTGTCAACAAATAATCTGAATATTTTCAGGAATTTTTGAGAAAAAAATAATTCAAAACAGTGATGGACACGGTACAGGGTTACTCACAAAGTATAAGACTTCAGAGACAACTTTGCGAAATTTATTTGCTTGCATTTATCTGGATTGAGGCATCTTTCAAAAGGACAGACTGGCTATGTAAGGTAGTTAAACTGAGTATGCAGTGTTGTGGACAAATTGGTTAAATTTATCTGTTTCATTCTTTACCAACTAATTTTACCATCAAAAGTCCATACTCAGGGCGAACGCTTTAATTGCTCTGTTTTAAGAGTCGTCATCAATCAAAGTCTCATCCGTAATGGATCACCCTATACAATTATAAGTAGGAGGTATGACAGATTTTTGACAATAAATCAATCAATCAATAAT